CTTCACTGATACCCTTACCCTGTTCCTCGCCTTTTTCCTAGTATTCTCAGACACACTGTCCAAGTCGTTCATCTTCACTGTCTGTGTTGGTCTCTCCTGGGAGTGTCCGCCCCCTGCAATGGCAAGGTCCTCAGCTTGTTTTCACCTGTGTGCCAGTGTCTAGCACAGTGCCAGGTACACGGCAAGTAACGTCAGTGCAGACATGTGCAGTGTGGCCCGACCGGGCTTGGAAGCCTCTCTCTCTTGTTCACCAGCACTCGGGGATATAAATGGAGGCTTTGATGGGGAGGTGATTCCCAGGTTGGGTGACTCCTTGGATGCCGTAACTGTGCCACCTGCCAGAACCTCCCCGGTGGCCATCAGCCCAGGCCCACCTGAGTGGCAGGTTTTTCCAGATGATCACAGGGGAAGGTGGAGGCCAGCATGGGTTGCGTTGCTGCCTTGAGCATGGGGATCTTTGTAGTGAAAGGTGTTAACCTCTTGGGGATGGTGCTGGAGGGAGCCATGTGGGGTGAGGAGGTGGGGGACCTGGTCACCTCGGATGGTGTAGACGTTGTCTTATTGGTACTGGTCCTAGGGCCATGGCCTGGGACAGGCCAGTATGCTAGAAGGGCAGACTACACAGGAGCCCCTTCCCAGCCCTCGCTGTCCCTCTCTTCCTGGCACATGCACTTGGCCTTGCTGCTGGCTCCTGTATACTGTGTGTATGAAGTAGTTGCAAGGGTTGGGGCTGAGGTTGGGTGACCAACTTTGGACAGCCATCAGAATGGAGTTCAAACCCAGACTTGACCACTTGCTAGCTGTGTGGCCTTGGGCACGTTTCTGAAACTGTCTGAGCCCCAGCAGGTACTGCACACTGCACACCACAGTGGCTGGCATGGAGCATGCACTCAGTGACCGCTAATGTTGTGCAGCCCACATCTCATCCTTCTCTGCAGGATTTGGGACTTCTCCTTTGATGGCCCTGGGCGGCGATGGTCTCTATCATTTATTTGACACCTAGCACATGGGTTTAGCTATCCAACCCCAAGGCCTGGCACAAGGCTTTGCATGAAAGAGGATGTTGAGAATTGACAGCCTGAGCGCTTTGAGGCCTAGTTCTCTGTCTTCTTGGCACTAGGTATGTTTGGGGGATTTCTGGAAGTCTTTCTATAAGAGTGGGTTCCGAGCCAGGCACCTGAAAGATTTGGGGGCAGCCAGGTCTGACCCTGCTCCCACCTCAGGGGCACATCTCTGGCACTTATCCCAGGCCCAGAGAAGAAGCCTCACACGGAAGGCTGTGTGCCTATGTTTGCTGGTCCAGCGGGGGCAGCTGAGGGCTAGGAGGAGCTCAGGCCCCATCGGAGGCGGAGGAGACCACACAGCCCTGTTAGGTGGGAAGTGGGAGGGCTAGGAAGTTAGGGAACAGCTGTTGCACAGGGCAGCGCGAGGTCAGGCTCTCCCGGGGGGACACATGCCCCTTGCTGTAGGCCCAGTGTCAAGGACATGCCTGCAGGCAAGGCAGCATCCATTAGGACACCTGGGCTGGAGGTTGGAGCCCAGGGGCCTCCTCCGCCTGCCCTGAGCCTCTCGCTCTCTGGGCCTTGCTTTCCTTCCCGTAGCCAAAGGGGCCAGAGGAAGAGCCAGAACTGAGACCTCAGAGAGAACCCAGTAGCAGGATGGACCCACTTTTGCCTGGCTATAGCGCTTCACCCTTTGAATCCAGAGCCCCCCTGCTCTGTGGTCTAGGCTTCCTTGCCCCAAGCTGAGGACAGAGAGTCAGCATGGAGCAGACATGGCCCTTGCTTCTAACTGCTTCACAGGTGCCCCCACAACCCTGCAAAATTAGTGCTGCCCTTAACCCACAGGAAAGAGGTGCCGAGGTGGTATGATTGCCTCCGAAGGGGAAGCAGATGTTGAAGGAGACCGGTTGGGGGACAGTGTGCCCGGCAGCACTGGAGCCCGAGCCAGCATTGTGGAAATGAGATGAATTTTACATGTGCGGGTGTGTCGTGCGCATGTGCACATGTCTTTGCAGACATTCATTTTGTGTCTATTGTGTGTCATACTCCTGAGTGAGGGGCCGTGCCTTCCCTTGTATATGTTAGGAAATGGACCGAGCGGTGTGTGATGGCATCAGTTCCAGTCCGGGGGTGACCTCTATGGGCCTTCATTTCCTCATCTGAAAAATGGGGACAGTACATTCCAGGGACATTTTGGAGGACTGAATAAAATATACCCCTGAAAATCTCTGGTCTGTGGGAGTGGCCCTAGGAGTGTTCATTTTCTTCCTTCCTTCCTTCCTTCCTTCCTTCCTTCCTTCCTTCCTTCCTTCCTTCCACGGCCAACTTCGTGCAGCACCTAGCAGAATGGCTACCCTCCCCAGCTATTTGTGAGTGATGTTCTTGGCAGATGTTGTTTAATTCTTATAACATCTGGTTTGGAAAGGCAGAGGGCTGGAGACTTTTTTTTAAAAGATACTCACTCACTAGGCAATGTCAGATTGTCACTTAATTGCTCTGTGCCTCGGTTTCTCCACTTGTAAATCAGGGATAATGCTAGCAATGCTGGCCAGCTTCTTTGTAGGATATGATACACTGATGCAGGATAACAGATGGAAAGTGGTTTGAACATTTAGAAAAGAAGGCAGCCTGCTCAACCTCACTAGTAGTTAGGGAAATGCAAATGAAAGCAACAATGCCACACCATTTGTCATGCATCCGATTGGCGGCCATTTAAAAGAGGGATCACTTCCAGGTGGGCACAGAGGCCCTCTCATATGCTGCTGGAGGGAGTCGGAATTGCCACAACCTTTCCAGAAGGTAATATGGTGGTGTCTAATAAAGGTTCACATACATGCTCGGTGTTGTGTCTAATCCACCCAGTAATGCCGCCGCTGGAGAGCCAAATTCAAGAGCAACCAAGGTCCCAACATGATTATATTCAGAGGGAGGCCCATCGTGGCATTCCCCGTGGTGGTGGGACCCTGGGTGCAGCCAAATGCCCAACAGTAAGGGATGCTTGTCCCTCTTGCAAACATCCACACTCTGAACTGTGAGTTAGCTCCTAAAAAGAAGGGCGTAGATGTAGCAGCGTTGACCTGGAGGGTCATCTGTGAAATATCATGATGTGAGAAGAGCAACTTTCTTTTGTGTCGAGGCAGACTCCATCATTCTAAAGATAAACACAGCCGCACCGCTCCAGACGTGCGTGTAATGCGAACGGATTTGCTTGGGTGCGGAGAAGGGCCCTGGTGGGATGTGCGCCCGGCCCAACCCACCCACTCTGGCCATCAGACACGATCTGTTTGGCTCATAAAAAGCTGAATTATTTGCCAACATTTAAAAAACAGAATTCATAGAAAAAGCCCAATGGCCGGTTTTTGATTGAGAAAAATCAGAAGCCCTGGCCACGCTGGGCCCGCATCCCTCTTGGCTGGAACAGATGGGCGGCTGCCACTCTTGGACAGAGCCTGTGGCCTCTGAGCAGCCATCACCCCCACCCAGCTGGTGTCTCCCTCATTTCTACTCCTGGCCTGGCCTCTGGAGCCTATCAATTTGCACCCCCGTGATGGGCTATGAACATTCCGAAGCTCCAGGGGGTGGAAATATAGGATGTATGGGAGGGGGTGTTCATCTTTTATTATTTAAATACATCTTAGGATCTTTTAGTCTTCAAGTTACTGTTTCATGCCTAATAATCAGGACAATTTAGGTACAATGTTAGCAGGGAAACAAAAGGGCGTGACGGGCCATCGCATGTTGTGTCAGGAATCCCAGCCGGGTCATGTCACGGGCCACTGGGGGCCCAGACTGACAAAGGCCACGCCGGGTCTGGAGTTAAGGGATCTGAGCCTGTGGCTCTTTTGGAATCTCTCGCCCCCGGATCTTGCAGAAATGCGCAAGTCTCTGCAGAGATCCCTTCCCTTCGGTTCCCTTCGCCTCCCCGTGTCTTTTCCTGGGCTCTCATCCACGAGGGAGGTGGCAGGTCAACTGAGGTCCGATGCTGAGCCTGGCGCTCACTAGCCGGAAGCTCTGAGCAAGCTGTCCATGTGCAGGATGATGTGCAGGCTCTGGGCCAAGCCCTGCGGGGAGAGGGGCCAGTGGGCTGTGTCCCTGTACTAACAGGGCTAGCGTTTTCGAGGGACGTGGGGTCCCCAGCTGAGGAGCGTGGGCCCCTCCTGGTGCCGCTGCTGGCCTCCGGGAGGCCTGACCCTGGGCTGCTGCAGGCGTGAGGAGGAGCCGGAGGACCGTGGCGCTCTGTCGTGGGGCCACCGCTGTGGTGGGAGGTGCACTCACCATCCCCGACACCCTTGGAGATGGGATCCCACCTCACTGAGCCCCAGATCTTGCCAGAGCTTTGCTCTGAGCCCCTAGAAACGTGGCATCAGTGTTCCCAGACTTGCTGTGGAGCCCTGTGCAGTTACCTCCCCTCTCTGTGCCTCTTTGGACATGAGATAATATGGCAGAGAGAAAAGGTGGGAAAAGACTTGCCCGCTGGGCACTTAGGCTGGGGGATCGGGGTGCTGGGCCTGCCAAGCCTTGTCTTAGACCCCCGACTGCCCACTTAGCTCCCATCTCCTGTCCCTGTCCCCAGGCTAACCAAGCCCCATGGCGCCCGGGGCTGCCATTCTGGAGGATGGAGGCAACAGCCCCCCGCCCGCAGAGAGGCCAGAATGCCTCAGCGATGCATTCCTGTGCCTACTGCTTAGCCTCGCTCACTCACTTGCGGGGCTGTTGACCCAGCCCCATGAGGGCAGATGGCGCCATTGCCTCTGCCCCCAGCCCCAGGCCGCTCAGCTATACCCAGCCCTGGACGATATGACACCCAGCAATGCAGACCCTCTCTCCTTTCCCACACCCGCCTTCCCCACCATGTGAGTGGATTCCTTCTCTTCTTCCCAGGCCAGGGGAGTGGTAGGGGTGGGGAAGTGTAGGAGGGGCTCGGAGCTGCAGGGGTGGGGAAGTGTAGGAGGGGCTCAGAGGGTAGGCTTCTCACCCTCTCCTTCCTTGTGTCCCTAGGAGCCATGAGGAGCCACGTTGCCACCAGCTGCCTCGTGGCCTGGCTGTGTGTGCTGATCTCTGGATGCCTGGGTAAGTCCAACCCGCTGCCCTTCCTGCCCCCACCAGCGTGGGGTTTGTGCTCTGGGACGGGGGGCGGGACAGGGCTGCTCTGGGCCTGCAGGCCTTGCCTTGCTGTGTGTGTGACTGCACACACCCTTCCCTCTCTGGGCCTCGGTCGCTTCTGCAGCACTCATAGGACTGCAAATACCAGCCTTCCCGTGAGGGAAGGGGAGGAGCCCTGAGGAACAGGTGAGCTCTAGGGGAAGGAGGCATCTGTGACCGTGAACTGCCCTTCTGGGATGCAGGGACCGGCCTTCGCAGCTGTCTTTTGAGCACCTACTGCGTAACGCTGTGTGTGTCCACGGCGCCAGCCTCTGGGGTGTGGGGCAGTGACCCGTGCTCAGGGAGCCCAGAGCCTGGCCGGGGAGGAAGCTGCAGCTAGATTTATACATAGAATGCAGGTGAGTATGGTGGTGATAAAGGTTGGATGCGGCTCTGGAGAAGCCCATTGGGAGAAAAGATTAATTGGGCCTGTGGGGACAGGAGGGACCCAGCCAGAAGGAAACATATAACCCGGGCTTTGAAGACTGAGAAGTGGTTTCAGCATAGGGGAGCAGGAGGAAGGGAATTCTGGGAGGAGGGAACAACTTGAATGAAGTGTGGTGGTGAGGAGCCCTTTCCCCTGGCAGGGAAGACCAGCCCTCCTTCCCCAGCATCAGCTCTGGTGCCCGCGGAAGTGGCCAGGAAAGACCTGGGCATTTGCCTGTCTCTTGGCTCCTGGACAGCCAGGCAAGGAACAGAGCTGGTGGCAAGGAACAGAGCAGCTCTGTGGACTGCTCTGAAGGAAGGCCAGGACCGCAGGCACGGCTGGCCCGGTGTCCCCTGGGGCCACGGTGGCCCCGGGGGAGAGCTGTGGGCCCCACCTGCCTGGTGACATGGACAACACATTCCTGAGTGAGGCCAGCTCCTTCTCTCATTCCAGGGAGCCAGGGAATGTCTGGAGGAAGCCAGCCTCGTGCTGGCTGCCCGAGAGTCCCCTGAAGCTCCCCTCTCCTGGCCACTGTGTTTGGAAGGATCTCTGCCAGAATGCCTTTGTGACGGGCAGTTTGCTTCCACCCAGGGAGCCCGGGATTACAGCACAGTCTCACAGTCTCAGGGGAGAGCCGGAGGGGCTCTCAGACCCTCTCTCAACTCTTGAGCTACTTTGCAGGAGAAACTGACACCTGGAGATGGAACCGTCCCGAGGTCATGCCAAGCAGGGTGTGGCTGAGCCTCAGTCAGGGTCAGGACACCGCACCCACAGCCGCTGGAGGAGACCTCAGTCGGGGCACGAGACCAGCTCTGACCCTCTGGCTTTGCTGGATGGTGGGAGTCAGGACACTTTCTCAGCCTGTCCCGGGGCTCTGTGACCTTGGACACTCATGCCCTTCCCCCACTGTTAAGAAGAAATATATTGGGTACCTGGGTGGTTCATTCGGCTAAGCTCCTGACTCTTGATTTTGGTTCAGGTCTTGATCTCGTGGTTTGTGAGTTTGATCCCCGCGTCAGGCTCTGTCCTGACAGTGCAGAGCCTGCTTGGGATTCTCTCTCTCCTTTCGTGATCTGCCCCTCCCCTGCTCGCACTGTTCTTAAAAATAAAACAGGTGCTAAGAGCCCGGCTGTATCCTCAGTAGAGGTGGCGGCTTCCTCTTGAGCTCTGTGGATGGAAGATTGTTCGTGCATCTCAAGTGGGCACAAGGGAGCAGCACAGAGCGGGCCTCTGGGGTTCCCACCCCACTTCTCCAACAGCTTCCTTTGGGCAGGTGTCTTACTCTCTCTGTCCTTCACCTTTCTTATCTCTAAAGTTAAAGGACAAATGGACTCCCCTCCTTCAGTGGTCAGAATGATCAGATGAGTTAATGTGCATGTCCAGCCCTTAGAATGGCCCGTGGCACATATTAGGTGCCAAAATAACGTGTTAGCTCTTTTATTAGGAGCTGCAGCTTTCTCTGGGCGAAGGAAAATGGGGCATCGAAAACAGAAAAGCTAAGCCGGCTGCCTGCAACCACACGGCAACTCTGTGGCAAAACCAGCCCGTCTGGGACCAGTCTGCCCTGCACGTAGATGAGGGCCCCTCTCTGTCTCGCTGCCGGGTAAAGACCCCCTTCCTGGCTCCTGTCTGAGGTGGCCAGTGTTGTTGCTTTGGCGTGGCGAGACCACGGCTGGCCTTAGGGACCGAAGGACACCATCTTCCACCCTGGCCTTCCGACACCTGTCCCTGAGCCCCCACCGTGCTCTTGTCCCCCAGGACGTCCCACGTTACTTCTCCCCGTGGTGTTTGCCTCTGACCCACAGCCCCATGGATCTGTCCTCCGATCCTGGGCAGTCAGAGTGTGGTTGGGCTCATGGACATCAGACCCTCCTGTCACCTTCTCAATGCCCAAGCTTGCCACCCTTCTTTCTCCCCTCTGGCCCCAATGTGTGCTTCATCTGTGGGCCTGCTGGGAGGGCAGGAGGTGGATGCCCGAGCACGCCAGCCTCACCCCGCCCCTGTCTGGCCTGGCCCCGGAGCATGCCGCCGGGTTGTGCAGCTGGTCCCCAGGCCCTGGGCGTGAGGGGTCCTGATGGCGAGGCTACACCAGCTGGGGCACCTGACGGCAGCACATTGGGCTTCCTTTTTTTTTTTTTTTTAATGTTTTATTTATTTATTTCAGAGAGAGAGAGAGAGAGACAGTGTGAGCAGGGGAGGGTCAGAGAAAGAGGGAGATACAGAATCTGAAACAGGCTCCAGGCTCTGAGCTGTCAGCACAGAGCCCGACATGGGGCTCGAACCCACAGACTACGAGATCATGACCCGAGCCGAAGTCGGATGCTCAACTGACTGAGCCACCCAGGTGCCCCCAGCACATTGGGCTTCTGACTGCTGGGGCTCCCGTGGGCCACACTGCAGCCACCGTGGCGGTGACCCGGTGCACAGGACGTCTCTGGCATGGAGGTGGCAGGGGAGGACAGTGTGGGGCTTTTTTCCTGAGGCTTGGAAACCAGGGCTGGAGAGAAAGAAAGATTTGCCAGGGCCACACGGTGGTGAGGGGCAGAGTACGCCAGGCCCCTGAGTTGGCACCGTCTGCCCAGGGCTCCTCCCTTATCAACGGGGCGCCCCACTGCATGGACCTCAATGTGAGCCCCTCTGCTTGCAGTCTCCCATCAGCGATCCGAGAGTGGGGCAGGCAGGCCTGGGCTGCATTCAGGCCCGGCTGCCTCAAGGCTCTGCCACCGGCCAGTGTTCAATCCAGAGGAATCCCCTGCCCCACGACTCTGGATAAAGTCACTGCTTCCTGGCGTCCCCACACAGTTGTGCCAGATGCCGGTCGTTCCCAGAGCAGGTGCCGTGGAGCGGCCGCTCAAACGGTGTGATCTCTGTGACTTCCCCACTCCCTTCTCCCTCAGGCCTCTGGTGCTTAGAAGCTGGGTGCTGGGCACTGTTTGAAATATTTAAAGCTAGTGGACCCCTCGATCTACTGTGTGGGGAACAATCAGTATGAGTGGCTGGTGGAGGTGGGAAGAAGCCACCAGGGTGGAGCCAGTGGTGGATGCGGACTCATGGGGATGGGGTGTGTGCGGCACAGACAGAGGGGCCGGGCATGGGCACAGGAAGCTGGGACTCTCCATCACTGAGGTCCCCCATGTCCCCTCCCCTCGTGTATCCACTCACTCACGGTCCAGCCGGGCTGGAGGTCTAAAAGCTCCCGAGGCAGCTGTTTTGCCTCGGGAGGACAGAGCCTCTGTGCCTTGAAAGTGGTTTTTAAGAGAATGAGTCCACTGTTGCTGTGCCCTTTCCCCATGTGTGCCCTGTCAGCCCCCTCCCAGTCCCCAGGTGCTGCACCGTCAGCACTCTGGGGGCCTCAGGACTGTTCCAAGAACTCAGGTCCCGCTGGGTCTGTGGCAGGGGACACATGCCCCCGGGGCCGTGCCAGCTGCCGTGCAGAGCACTCAGCGGGTGATTATCGGCAGGTCCTGTCAAAGAACAAGTTAAAAATGAACAGCGCTGCTGCAGGCGACGTCTTTCCTCCTGGCTTCCCTCCCCCGGCCGCCCGAGCCACTGCTGCATTCTCTGGGCACCCCTGAGCCTTCCGCCCGGGTCCAGCCCGCTTCCCATGCTGGAGCCCAAGGCTCTTCTTAGTGATCAAAAGCCTCCCTCTCTGGCTGCGTTATTAATACCCATATTAATAGTAGTTACCATTTATCCAGTGCTTGCTGTGTGCTGGGGCATGGCGCTAAGCACTTTATGTGTGTAATCTCTCTTAATCCTCAGGACTGCCCTCAAGTAAGTCTTATTATTGCTGTTTTACACCTGAGTAAACTGAGGCATGGGAAGATCATGTGGCTGGAAGGAAGCACAGGGAAGTTCCAAACCAAGGCAAGGCCCTTGGCCCTTGGCCTCTTTCTGAGGCCGTTATGTGTGTGAGGGGCTCCGAATTCCTGATGCGAGAGGATGGAGGAGTGTGTGGGGGTGCACGTTTGTAGTAATGGTGATCAAGGAGGGCTTCCTGGAAGAAAGGGTGTCTGAGATGAAACTTGAAGGATGTCTAAGAAGAGACTCAAGCAGGAGTTTGGGGGGTGAAGGCAGAAGGGGCAGTGGCCCTCGCCGGAAAGGGAGACAGAGGCCAGAATGTTTGTGGGTTTGGAAGTGCTGTGTCTGGGCAGACTTAGGGGGAGGAGGCGAAGATGTCAAGCCACTCACCACTGGGAGCATCTCAGGCGGGAGGGGGTGTGCTCTTCCTCGACTCCAGCCTTCTCACTTCCTGGCAGCTGGCCTCCGTTCTGAGGCCTGGCACCGGCCCTGAGATGAGAGAGCCCCCGCTCTGCCGAGATGGGGAAAGGAGGCTGTCCCCGGAGGACTCCGCAGGGCTGCTGGTGGCCGTACGACGTCAGCCCTGTGGGAGACAGACCAGCTGCCCAGCCCTGGTTGGCAAGGGCAGAAAGGCAAGGGCCCTCGCTTGCCTACTTCCGAGGTATTTCCCATACCAACGACCAGTTCTTCGGTTCTCTGGGCACCAGCTGGGTGTCCAACACTTTGATGAAGTTCAGGCTGACAGTGTCTGGAGTCAGTGTCAGATCATACAGATTTAAGGGCTCGGGCGCACAAGACAGGCAAGGCACGAGTCCTGGGCCACCCGTACGTCTCCCCTACCGGCCGGAAATCGGGGCTTCCTATGACCCCTTCTCAGGTTTCTTCAGCTGGAATGACTCCCTTGGGTGAGGGCGGTGTTGGGCTTCCGCGTCCTCGCTACGCGCCCCTCCCAGCACTGGATATGTTCACCTCCTGGACGCCCGTCAGAGCTCTTCAGTCTCCAGCCCCCTCCCCTCCCTGGAGGCCCGTGTGGGGCTAAAAGTTTCCCCCACTCACGAGTTGGTCTTTCCACCGACCAGCCCCACCCTGGAGCTGCCTAGGGCCCCCCCCACCAAGTCCCCTCACTAGCATAAACTCAGGGGGCTCCTTATAAAGGACACTCTTCTCCCTCTGGAAATTCTAAGGAGTTTTGGAGCCCTGTGCCAGGAACTGGGGCAAAGACCAAATATATATATATATATATATATATAAGTTTTTTTTAACATTTATTTATTTTTGAAGAGAGAGAGGGAGAGAGACAGAGCATGAGCAGGGGAGGGGCAGAGAGAGGGAGACACAGAATCCAAAGCAGGCTCCAGACTCTGAGCTGTCAGCACAGACCCCGACTGGGGCTCAAACTCATAAACTGTGAGATCAAGACCTGAGCTGAAGTCAGAGGCTTAAGTGACTCAGCCCCCCAGGCGCCCCCACCTATGTGTTCTGTTACACTATGCTACTGAAGGCCGCTAGGAGGAGGATCAGGGAACAGGCAAAGCTGGCCTTGGGGAGGCCTCGTGTGGGGCAGGGGGCGGGGCCTTATGGTATGGAGGACTCTTTGGAATCACTGAATTCCTCAGCCCGTGCCAGGACCTCCCCAGCTCCTTCCAGACCTGGCCCTGATCCCAAGGCTGTCACAGAGTGATACAAGGTCAACCACCCAGGGGTCCCGTAAGGCCTGTGCGGCCGACTAGCTGTGTGACCCTGGGCAGGTTACTGCTTACTCCCCACAAGCCTCATTTTCCTCAGCGGTCAGCCGGGGATGTGATAGTCGCCCCCTGTAGCGTGAAGACTGATGGCAGGGACACAGTGGCCGGCATGGAGAGGGGTTCCAGAGAGGGCATCGTTGTCATTTATCCCGTGGGCTCGGCTGGCCGTTCCTTCCCACAGTGAATACCTCCTGGGGCTCCTGAGTGCTTCCCCTGCTCTGGGTACCAGGCTGCTAGCGATCAAGGAGCACAGCCCTGGTCCTTAGTGCCTCCGCGTGCCACCTACAGCCAGGCTGCCTACGGGGAGTACAACGTGAGCCATGTGGGTGAGTTGGAATTTTCTAGAAGCCGCGTTAGAAAAGAAACACATTTTAATAATAAGGTTAACTCAGTATATCCACAGTGTTTTCACTTCAACCCATGTTCGATATAAAAGGTTAATGAGATATTTTACACCCGTGTTTTCAAATAAAGCCTTTGATATCCTGCGTGTATTTCCTGCTTCAACACTGCCTCAGTGTGGATCAGGACGCACTAGCCGTGGGGGGCTGGTGGCCTCGCTCACCGTACGGCCTCCCTACTGGCATTAGTCCCCTTTTACCTGGAGGCAGGACTGTGGCTGCTGAGGTCCTGGGAAGGTGGCCGCGGCCCTGGACGCAGGCTCAGTGCCCTCTGCAGCCCCGACTCTGTGCCTCCTACTTGAGTGACACTCCTGTCCTCTGACTCTTCCAGGCCAGGTGAACCGACTGCCCTTCTTTATCAACCACTTCTTCGACACGTACCTGCTGATCAGCGAGGACACGCCTGTGGGTGAGTTGGCACAGGGCTGGCGGGCATGTGGGTGGCATGGGGTGGGCTCCGTTCCCCCAAGTGAAGGGGATCTTAGAGGTTGCAGCTGTCTTCCACCCATTACTGGCACCTCTTTCGTGGTGTCCTCATCGGTGTGTGTATGGCCTCTCCTTGGTTGTCCTTGGGGATGGGGCGCTCAGTCCCTTCCCACACGGTGGAGGGGGGGGGGTTCTAAGTGCCCAAAGAGTTGTCACATTGAGCCCAAGTTGCTTGACTTCCACTTCTGTCCTACAAGATGCCCTGTTCTCTTTGGGAAAATTTGAAAGTGGCAACTGTCCTAGAGTTTGATTGTAGCCTTTAGTACTTTCCTGTGATCACCAAGTTTTCCGCAGTGAGTCTGCCTGTTTTGTCATCAGGGAAAAAATGACTGATTTAGGAGGCGATCACAAGCATCGCTCACACCCCAGCTTGAGTCACCTCATTACCCAGCTCTGTCCTCATGATCCCCTTCCTGAGGGCCTGGCTCCCATGCCTGGGGCTGGAGATGTGCACGCACAGCCCTGTGGCCTTCGCTTGGCTCCAGGGACCAGAAGCTTCTTGGGAAATGCAGCTGTGCTGAAGGGGGAGACCCTCATTCCTGTGAGAGGCCCCTCCTGCCGCCACCCACACTCCCTCCCCTGTCCTCATTCTTGTCCGTGTCATCTTAGGGCAAGTGCCTGTCATCTGGGGCTTCTTAAACTCAGGTCTGCCTCCTCTGTGGGTCCACGGGTGGAGCTGTGCACCAGAAGGGGCACACGGCCAGGGGTGGTGTGGCACCTCTTTCTGGAGTGTCACTTGTCCTTGGAAATTAAGCAAGATGGCACGGAGAGAGGGGAGGGCTGTGGAGGTATTTAACGCATAGGTCATTTTAAACACTCTTTTATATAAAACCAAACATCGATGTGTGATAGAGAAGATGCGAAATTCTCCATAGGAGATCTCAGCAGACCGCAGCCTCTCCCCTGCTGTTTGCGGGGCCTTAGCGGCAGCTCCTGGAATGACCATACAGTCCACTCTTCCTGGCGGAAGCCATTCCACAGGAGGGCGGAGATAGCAGGTGTGTTTCTGACTATTGTGGGGATTGTCCCCACAGCCAGGCCAGTTGCTCTTCATTTCTAGGAGCCGTGGGATGGGGGTGGGGCTCTGTGGAAAGTCGCAGCTCCTTTGGTGACTTGCAGCCTCGTTGGATCAGTGCTGCAAGGCTGGATTTGTGGGTATAGGTGTTTACAGGGTCATCCAGGGAGGAGGCTACCAGCCTCTCTGTCTGCTTCTTCCGCGGGCTTAGCTCTTCTCATGGTGGGGGTGTGGGGGTGTGGAGAGGGTACCTGGAAGTCTCTTGGGGATGCTGCTGAGCTTCAGGGCATGCGTGTGGGCTTCTGGATTCATCTGGGGCTTCTCCCCACACCCAGGCCTCGCATGGGGCTGGTGTGGAGGTAGGAGAGTAGGCGCCTAGTCTATGTGGCTCGATAAGTGAATGAGAGCTAGCAGCCTTCGTCGTCAGTAGAGGTTCCTTCAGTTCATTCGTCAGTGCACCAGATGTAGAGGGGGTTGCACCCTCTGTGCTGGGCCTAGCTGCCATGCCCCCAGAGAGAAATGCGACAAAAGGATAAAGAAATCAGTGTTGGGGTGTGGGGGCCAGGCTGGGTGTCTGGTTAAGTCCCAGTGGGGCCTTGAAGGAGGAAGGTGTGTCCTTCCAGTGACAGAGCAGAGGCAGGAGGGAGCAGGAGAGGTTTCTGGGAGGCGGTGGCCCTTGAGCAGAGTCCCCAAAGACTCCCTTTCTATTCCTTCACATACTGTTTCCGGCAGCTGATTTTTAGAAGGGTCTGGTTTTTGTTTTTGTTTTTTTAACATTTTTTAATGTTTATTTATTTTTGAGAGAGAGAGACAGAGTGTAAGTGGGGGAGGGGCAAAGAGTGAGAGGGAGACACAGAATCCGAAGCCGACTCCAGGCTCTGAGCTGTTAGCACAGTAGCACAGAACCGACACAGGGCTCGAACTCACAAACTGTGAGATCATGACCTGAGCCAAAGCCAGATGCTCAACCTACTGAGCCCCCCAGGCGCCCCTGGAAGTGTCTAACCTCAGCCTTCCAGAGATTGCTTGTGGTGGAGGGACTGTGTCTGGGGCAGGGGGGAACCTTCGAAGCAGAGGCGTGGCCAACCGCTAACTGACGGGGCTGCTGGCCGGGAAAGGTCAAGGCCACTCTCAGGTGAGTGGTGCTGGCTGTGGCACCCCACCTGTGACCCTGCTCAGCCCTGAGTATGGGGTTCTGAGAGGCCGGCAGTGCAGGGGGCGTGGTGGGGTGGGGTGGGTATGCTTGGCCAGTGCCAGTGGTGCCCGCCCCCTCCCAGTGAGCCCTCCAGCGGGCCCTGCTCTAGTTACCTTTGGCTCTGCCTCTTGATTGTCCTTTGCAAATGCTAGCATCGATCGGCTTCTGGGAGCAACTCCTAGGACACGGCCCCATTAAAGCTGCGTTTGGCAGCCACAGCAGGGACGTCCATCTGGTGCTGTGGGGATTGATCCCTGGCTCTAGGGGACCAGAGGAATGAGAGAAGGCTCAGTGAGCTGGAAGACAGCTCCGTCCGTCCCTCCAGGCAGGGGTTGGTGCTGAGTTGGCCCACACCTTCCTGGCTTCCTCCCTTCATGTTGCATCAGGAGGGGGCAGCAAGCTCTGGCCTGAGAGTCACAAACTTAGTTTTTGTTCTTCACTGTGTGGCATTGGGCACAGCGCTGCCCCTCTCTGGGACTTACCTCCTATTTCCCCAACGAGAGGGCATCGGGCCCATCTTGGCCGGCCCTGCCGGCCCAGTGTACATCCTGGCCCTCAGATAACAGGCCTGGGGACCTCCACCGTGTGCTGTCACCTGTGTGGCCCTGGGCCATTCAGAGGTTGTTGTGGACTCACATGGACGTGGCAGGGTGCCAGGGGGAGGGTGGGGGTCGAAACAGTTTGTCCAAGGGACTGGCCCTTTGCTTGCCATGTGGAATGGGGTGGCCTAGAGACTTGCCTTGGAGGCTCAGCTCTCACTGGCCCTTTGCTTTCTGAACCTCAGTGTTCCAGCGTGCAGAATGGGGATGGGATAGACCCCTCTCTGGATTCCATACCTGGAACGATTTGTTACTGAAAGGAGAGCCTGTGTGTGGCCTGGAGATGACTGATTGAGCTGTCCTGGCAGCCATGGGCTGACGGGGGGTGGGGGAGACAGGTGCACAGAGGAGCTGGGTGTAGGGCGGTCACTACCAATAGCTAGAGGCAGAGCCCAAGCCAGTCTGAAAGTGGCATGAGGTCAGAGCTGTGGGCAGGCCAACTTCCAGCTCTGGCGCTGCTTATCTGGCTTCTGCTTAATGCCCAACGGTGGGGAGCTCATGACCCTTTAAGACAGTTCATTTTTGTGCTATGGGGACAGTTCTGGAAATGAAAACTTCTTCCTAATAGGAATGTGAAATCTGTCCCTGGAGCTCCCACCCACTGAGCCTAATTCTGACGACTGGAGCCTTACAGAGTAATAATAACAATATATGATATACTATGTATGCATAATATATGTGATTATAATAAGTATGTTTACTGAGTGCTCAAGGTAGTGTAGAGTGTTTTAACTAATGTGTTTCCAAATTCCTCTTAAGATTCTGGAGGCAGAGTTGGCTGTGGGCTCTGTTAGTATGTAGTTTCTGCAAATTTTCTCTCCTGAGCTAGAGATTGGGTCTTGGATTCACCCCAAACCTTCTGAGCCTTTCCATTCTTTATGCTGTCGCCTCAGTTTCGGCTGGCGGGCCAGCGGCCGTGGGCTGGGGAGCAGAGGGGGGAGCCCAGCACAACTGTCCCAGATCCCTCACGGAGGCTATGCGTTGTGTCGCTCTATCTCCTCACCCATCTCTGGTTCCAATTCCCTCTGCCCGATGTTCTTTTGGGGGACCATCTCCCAGCCAGAGAAGACAGGAGCCAAGTGAAGTCATTAGGGAGTCGTGCCTCCCCCTCCCGCCATGAGCCTGTTAACATTCAGGGCCCCCTTGTCCCTGTGTGTCAGACATGAATATCCATCATCGGCAGCTGAGCTGGTCGGGAAGGGGCAGAGCAAGGGCAGATCAAGGACTCAGCGCCTGGTTGGGCCAGTGACATCGCCCACACCATGGCCTTGGCTGTCAGCAGTGAATGTCTGCATGGCATCTATAGGACAAGGGGTGGGCGCTTCCTGGGTGCTGCCTGCAGGTGACATCCCTAATCCACTCCAGACACTCACCAGTATGGCCCGTGGCAAGGGCTGTAATTCTCAGACCTGTGGCCTTCCGGCTTTTGGTCTTTTTCTTTTCCTGGGCATCAGTTCTCTGGCTGTTCCTTCTCAGCCTCCTTTGCTGGCTCCTTCACACCTCCCGCGCCCCTGAGTATTGCAGAGTCCCAGGCCTGGCTCCTGTGTGCCTTCCCCATGTTCTAACCCCGTGCCCGTCAACTCTGGTCTTGCTGCTTCAGGTCCTGCCCATATGCTGACACGCCGGAGGCTTCTACGCCCTCCCTGGGCCTCCTTGCAGAGGATGCTCCAGACTTGTGTGTGCACCTCCATGCTCAGCATTTCTACGTGGGTGTCTGCAGGGCTCTCAGCCTCTGTGCATCCGGGCTGGACTCCTGCCCTTCCCCCAGACCCTGCTTGCCCTGCAGCCTCGCTCGGCTCTGCTGCAACTGCACCCCGCCCCCAACACACAGTTGCTTGGGCCAGAAACTTGGCGTCGTCCCTGCCTCTTGTCTTTCTCCCTCTCACCGCACTTCCGATTCATCAGCAAATCCTGTTGGTGCCATCTTCAAAATGTTTCCAGAATCTTCTCACTTCTCACCCCTTCTGCTCCCACCACCATGGCACAGGCCTGGATTATCTAGCAGCCTCTTGAGGGTCGCAGTGGCCTCCCTGCCCCCCCCCCCCTGCTGAAGCCTTCTCTCACCCCCACAGCCAGCCGAGGAGTCAGGGGTCCTGACATGGAGCCTGTCATGA